TCAATACGGAGGTCCTCATAAAAAAATTTAAAAAAACTTTAGGTGCTCCGGGAGCCAGATCCATGGACATTCACGATAAATAAAGGAATTTGTGCGATTGCTAAAAAAAAATGTAGATGAGAAAATTGGCGTGAAATAAATGGTATGGACACGTTATGGTTCCCCAACTCAATACAGAGGTTCTCATAAAGTTTTTTTGAGAAAAAAAATTTGGGTGCTTAGGCCACCAGATCCATGGGCTAATTACACACAAAAAATCGAGGCAGTTGCGCGATTGCTAAAGAGGTGTGTCGTGCCCAAAGGACCCCCCCCCCATCCTTAAGGCGTCGTGCCCAGAGGGCCCCACCCCACCCCTCCATCCCCGGGGTGCCGTGCCCCGATGACCATGCCCCAAGGACCCCAACCCTACCCCACCACCGAACCCCGGGGCGTCGTACCCCGAGGAACCCCCCATCCCCCGTGCGCTATGCCCCGAGGACCCCCACCTTACCCCACCACTCACCCCGGGGTGTCGTGCCTCGAGGAACCCCCCACCCCCGGGACGTCGTGCCCCGAGGAACCCCACCCCTCCCCTCCCCGGGGTGCCGTGCCCCGATGACCATGCCCCAAGGACCCCAACCCTACCCCACCACCGAACCCCGGGGCGTCGTACCCCGAGGAACCCCCCATCCCCCGTGCGCTATGCCCCGAGGACCCCCACCTTACCCCACCACTCACCCCGGGGTGTCGTGCCTCGAGGAACCCCCCACCCCCGGGACGTTGTGCCCCGAGGAACCCCACCCCTCCCCTCTTCCATCCCCAGGGAGCCATGCCCCGATGACCCCACCACCCATACCCGGGGTGCCATGCCCCGAAGAACACCACCCTCACCTCTGGGGAGCCGTGCCCCAAGGAACCCCACCCCTCCCCTCCCCATCCCCGGGGACCCGTGCCCCGATGACCTTACCCTCAATCATCGGGGTGCCATGCCCCAAAGAACCCCACCCCCATCCCTGGGGGGCCAAGCCCCGAAAACCCCCCTCTCCCATCCCTGAGGGGCCGTTGCTCGAGGAACCACTCCCCACCCCCAAGCCCCGGAGAGCCATTCCCCGAGGACCCCCCATCCTAGGGGCGCGGCACCCCGAGGACCCCTCTCTCATATCCCAAGTGTGACATGCCCCGAGGACCCCTCTCTCATATCCCCAGTGTGACATGCCCAGAGGACCCCCCCCCCGAAGAACCCCACCCCACCCCCCATCCCCGAGGGGTCAAGCCCCGAGAAACCCCACTCTCTCATCCCTGTGGGGCTGTTGCCCAAGGAACCCCTCCCCACCCCCATCCCAGGGAGCCATTCCCCGAGGACCCCCCCCCCCCCATCCCTGGGGCGCGGCACCCCGAGGACCAACCTCCCTTATCCCCGGAGCGACATGCCCAGAGCACCCCTCTATCCCCGAGGACCCTCCCCCAATCCCCAAGGGAGGCATTCCCTGATGACCCCACCCCCCCATCCCCGGGGTGCCATGCCCCCAAGGACCCCCACCCCCTTCCCTGCCCCCTACCCCAAATGTATTTTGTATTCAATTTGTTAAAATAAACTAACTAATGAACTGTTTAACTTAATGTTTATACTCTAATACAAAATGCCTATTAAAAATAACAAAATACAAGCATTCATAGAAATTAAACAAAAGTATTATATCTATTCTACTGTTTCTTCTTGTTTTTAGGTTAAAAAGAATAAAATACAAGTATTCAAAAAATCAAACAAGAGTTAACATATATCTTTAATGTTTCTTCTTGTTCCTCCTATTATAAAGAATAAAATGCAAGTATTCAAAAAATCAACAAGAGTAGCCCTTCTTGTCTTTGTATTTTGTGTAAATCTTCGAAGTATTAGTTTTTTTCATTGTAAAGCTTCACTTGAAAACTATATAGGTTTTTCATAAAGTATATCTAAGTATTCAAAGTTAGAATTAATCAAAACAAAAATAACTAAATACAATCTAATAATCAAGAGGAGAGAAAGAATGTGTTTGGGCCATTCGGGCTTTAACTGCTTCTGCCCAGAAATATTGGGCCAGTTCTATTTCCATTTTCAGTTTCTTTTGAAAAGCTTCTGCTGGTTTGAGCCTCTTTTCAGTTGTAACTGATATGGATCAAGCAAATTATTGAAGAACTAACCAAAATCCTACTCCCCATTGACTTCATTGAGAGTTTAGACGCACGTGAAGATTCAAGTAGCTGCACATGTATATCTGTCATATGAAAATCAGATTATCAACTGCTTCATAAAACAACAAAAAAGATATAGATTGCTCAATTGTAACTTTTTTATCATCATTGTCTAGTCCAACTTCCTTCAGAAAAAAGCCCATGTTGATCACCTTCCTCTGTGCTTTGATGCACTTCTTATGATCATGCAAAAATTGTTCTTCAGCAATAGAAGTTGGAGTATTTGCTGCTGCAGCAGCACTCAATTTCCTATCAAGTCCCTTCCCCCTGCTTTGTTGATGGCTTGCTTGCGTTTGTAAGATCAGTGAGAGCTTTCCTGCCACTCTGTCAGGTACTTCAGCAAAATTGTCTTTTGTCCCAGCACTAAATTTGTTTTTGGTGGCATTAAGATCTTTCCCAATGGAAATAACACTGGTGGAATTTTTCTTTGATGACTGAAGAGAAGAGGGCTTTGCTGAGTTTGGTATGTCATTAAGTGCTTTTCTTCCGCCAAGTCTTCCTCCTTTCTTCAGGGTTTTGGATATATCATTCTTTCCAAACAAAGAAGCACCTGTGAAAAATAAATTTTAGTGAACCAACAGAAGAATATCATATTCTCTCAGGATTATGTAATGAGGTTTCAACCATCAAAATGTATATTGATATTCTGACTGATCCTGAAGCACAGCCATGTCGTGTCCCAACAGAATTTGGATATGATCCTGCACCATGTAAATGAGGTTATAACATGAAATGAGAGCAAAACATGATTGATCACATACAGAAAGTACAAGCCAAAACAACAAAGAATTGAGTGATGTAAGCATCAAAGAATTTTATGTTGCATTTCGACTCAGTGTGTCTATATTCTTTATTCAATCACTTAGAATAACATCTGCAGTGGTAGCAAGAAACAGATTTATCAAAGATCAAAATGGCTTAGTAATAGCTTTCCAAGATGAGCAGTTCAAATTCTGCTGGAAAAAAGAAAAAGATTCTCTATAATGTGACACCAACAATTGACATCTTCAAGAGGACAACTAACTACAAGAGGACAACTAACTACAGATACAACACTATTAAAGACAGTGTTTTTGCTTAAAATACCCAGATCATCTAGTTTTGCAACAAAGAAAAGAACATTATATACAAGAATCAAAGCTTAAATAACATGACTTTATCCATGTACTATGAGTTTGTGAAATATATTTGATAGAATGATTCAATGTATAAACTCTATACCATTTACTTTGCAGTAATAGCCAGAAACATAACTATCAATCCCGAAAAGAGGGTAAGAAGAAGATGGCCAAATATAACGCCAAACAGGGAGTCGTTTGGCCATAACATTTTTATTCACTTTTTTTTCCATTTGACCATGAAAATTCCAAAAATTAAGCGGCATACCTGTTGGAGTGTACTCTAGCAGGAGTTGCATGCAAAATGGCACTGAGAATCCCAACTATGGTTTGTGTTTTTCCAGTCCTTGGTGGACCCTAGAGTAATGAACTTTGTTAAATACTTAACTCTATTAAAGTTCCAACTTTCTGGTTAAGAAGCATCAATGAGACTAGATTAACATGAATATCCACTGCCTTTTTAAATTTTATACACTAATCTCCTTTTGTGGTAATTTTGATACATTAAAGTATTTTTCACGAAATAAATAAAAACAAACAATTGAGCACTGAGCAGCTCCATTCGTCGTGGCTTTTCGAGATACATACGTACATAAATCACAAAATAGTACACGTGAAAGAGCATTAAGAAAAGGCATATTTTATTTATACAACCTAGAAAATAAATGGTTAAGTCAAACATGTATCAACACAGAAATTTTCCGTGAAAGCCCTGCCTGCAAAGAAAAATGTTGAATGAGACAAATGCATGCTAAGTTTTACATGACTGAGAACTACTAATAGATCATCAAGGGGGACAGAAGCACTGAATGGTAAAGAGTTCTTAGAGGTTTACTGATGACTGCATTCCCTTGGGTAACCCCTAATGTAAGGCTGGTTAAGCAAATTTAAGTATACCAACATTTCTCCAAGATACATGTTCTTTGTATTGCTAGCTGTCCAGAAGAGATTGACAAATGTTGATAGACTGATTAAATTTGGGGTCCAAGTCCCTCCTGATTGTGCATAATGTGGATTGACATTAGAAACATTCTGCCATTTGTTCTTTGAATGCCAGGTGACAAAGGAATTGTGGAGTAGATTATGTAAATGGCTGGGGTTCTCAAGATCTATTCAGGAATGGCAAGATGAAGTGAAATGGGTGTGCTTAATGGCAAAGAAGAAGGCTGGACTAACTGAAATAGCAAGCAGTGTTTTTGGTATGCTAGTGTATGTCATATGGAGAGAAAGGAACAAGATTAGATTTCAGAATGGGAGCATGAACACAGATGCAGTTTTGAAGAAAATTGTAATGCATATGCATATCAAGAGTCAAACCAGGGTGAAATGGAAGAATGCACTTCAACAACTCAATGTCTACCCTTAGTTTCGGTTTAACTTATATATATAGTATTGAATCGCTGATCTATTTAGATTGTATTTTATAGAAGGTTATAGGTTAGTAGATTTGGTGTGTATTATGAGTGAGTAGTTAGTCCAATACTACTTTGTTTGTAAAGATACAATTTTGGTTATGAATGAAATATGCAACTTACCAAAAAAAAACATTTCTCATAGCACTCATCGACTTAGTTATCACATTGTTGTAGGTTATATCTTATTTCATTCACAAGTGGAACAGATACTAAAAGCTTCAAAGTGACTGATATAAGATCAGTGAACAGATCTTCTTCAGGAAATTTTCAGAATAATAGAAATTTCACGTTGTAAAAGCACAAAAGGAGCAGAGAAGTATCCTATAATTTTGTAAATTCAACAATCAGGTCAATATTCATCATAGCAACACCACCACAACTTGTGTGAGAAGAAGATGTACATAAAAAAGAGCGTACCAGAGTTTAGAATGCGCAACACAATCTCGTCGAGTGCAGAATTTGACGGAGCACAAACTAGAACACGAACATGATACTTCCGACTGGAATTGACTATTTCTGGTTTCTAGAAAAACAGTTTAGTGTAAGAGGGCGCAAATTTAAATTTCTCATTTCATTATGATGGACAACATCAAACATACCAAGTCATTGCCAGATGTAGGGAAAAATCCATCATCCCCATCTATTGGCATTTCATGGTCTAGAGGATTAATCCCACCTAACCATGGAGATGCTTGTCCCCAGTGTTTGTATCTGCAAAGTTCAAACAGTTTACCCTATGAGATATATTCAAAAGGAACAAGTTCTTAAAGAGATCTGGAAAAGGAATCCTTTACACAATTCTGAACAAGGGAGACAAGTTGTCAACAACCAACAAATACACCTATAAACTGTATAGATCACTCAGCCAATAAAACTTTTTGAGGATATCACTCAACCAATAAAATACAAAAGAAAACACCATCTTCCGCCCAGATTCTCCATCCATCCAGAAAGAAAATACAGGAGATCCAACTGCTAGAGTTGTTGGGTTTGTATCAAGATCAGATAGCTACAATTCCCTTTAATCTAACAAAGAAAACCCTAGAATAACTCCATATGAAGAACAAATCAAATTTAAAATATGTTTTCAACTTGAACCCTAAAATAGAAGAAACCCCAATTGCCAAATGTACAAGATTCGAGAATTGAACATAGTTCCATAGAAGTTAAACGAAAAAAATCATATTTTTTCTCAGCGATTAAAAACAGGATGATAGATAGCAGAAGAACACAAAAAACTCACAAAATAGAGAAATTTACAGCCTTCTTCAGAGAATTTGCACACAAGATTATCAAGCTTTCTTCTCAGTATGCTGGATGATTTCTCAAAATTATTTTGTGTTTTTTTCATCAAAGTTTTGGAGTTGAAGAACAGGCGAAAGTATATATATAGAGGGATGATCCCTCCTAACGGTCATATTTCGACGCCTTTTACTAAGAATTTGTTTGGATTGACTTAAAAAAAATAGTTTTTAAGTTAAAAATAAAAAGTCAAACTGAAATGATTTTTAAGTCAAAAAATAAAAAGTAGGGGAGACCTACTTTTGATTTTTAATTTATTTTAAGTCATTTTTTACCTTGTCAAACACTTCCAATATATTTTAAGTCATTTTTGACTTATTTTAAATTATTTTTTGTATTTGCCAAATACTTCCAGAAGTCAAAAACTGACTTAAAAGTAGGTTTGACCAATTTTTAAATCAATTCAAACACCCTATAAATTGCACTGCAATTACTAAATTGCACGGCTAATTACAAGAATGGTGAAGAAGAAGATTTTTGGTTTCTTTTTAGGGAGTGCAGATCTCAGAAGAAATCAATTTAGAAAAAATAAAATAGACTTTGATTGTTTCTCATCAAATTTTATTTTTTATTGGGCAACTTTAGTCATTTTGTATTTTTCCTTTGACATTTTGTAATTTTGTTTGTTTATTATTCATAAATTAACAGTCCACAAAAATTGCAATAAAAAAAATTACAAGAATAGTAATTATGTGATAGTTGGCATTGAAGAATAAGATATTTTAAGAACATAGTTTTTCTAATATTTGACAAGGTAACTTTTAGAGAAATTAGATACTCATTTTCAAACTCTAACCTTATGAGTTTTTGGTGTAGGTCAATCAAGACATCTTAATCACTTGTTAATGTTACTCATCATATATGATAAACAATTCATTAAAAATGGTGGATATTTGATATTCGATTTGGTTTTTAAAGTTCAAGTTTGATGATTCAATATTTAAAATAGTTAACGAATATCTCAATGATAGAAAAAGCGGTGTTCACAATAACATATGTGTTATTATTCCCCTTTATTAGTGACCATTGTGCAAATATTCATATAACTTAAGAAAAGTAGATAATAAATATGATCAACTATTTGCTTTAAAATCCCTTTCTTTAAAGTTCCACACACTTATAAATTATAATGAATCAATTTTTCAACTACTTTAATTTGATATACTATTGAATTTGGATTTGGACCTTGTCCGTCATTGTTCATTTCAATTGTTTCCATTTCAACAAGAGTTTGAGAATTATACCACACAAATTGGACTTTTGTGTAATATAACATGATCAAAACAGAGAAAATTACAATCGTCAAGGGTGTGGTTGGTATGGAGGAAAATGTTTTTCCAATTTTTCCTTGTTTGGTTGGCTTAAAATGTTTTCTAAATCAACTCATTATTCTCAAATTTAAGGAAAATGACTTCCCTTCCAAAATTAAGGAAAACATTTATCAAAACTCTACTTCATCCTTTAATTTTTTTTTCTTACCCTACTCATACCCCATACCCGACCCTTCCTATTCAAAAAAAAATATTTTTCAAAAATGTTTCAAATTTTAAAACTTTTTACCTCACTAAACCCATACCACCCCTATCCCCCCACCCCAAAAAAATTGCTTTTGAAAAAATTTCAAATTTAATTTTTAAAATTTTTTTATGCCACTCCCCCCGGCTCCCGCTACCCCACTCCCCCGCCTCCCCCATCAATTTTTTTCATAAAAAATTTTTTTGGGAAGTATTTCAAATTTAATTTTTTTTTTTCAATTTTAACGCCACCCCTACACCCTCCCCCCCTGTGCCACCCCCACACAGGCCACCCCGTCAATGTCAATATTTTTTAAAATTGTTTTTGGAAAATATTTCAAATTAATTTTTTTTCATTTTTATGCCACCCCTATCACACCCCCCCCCACCCGGCCATTCCCGACAAATAAAATTTTTAAGAAAAAAAATAGTTTTGAAAAATATTTCAAATTTAAAAAAAAATACATTTTTTACGCCACTCCCACAACTACCCCCTCACCCCCCCCCCCCCGCTCCACACCCACCAAGGCCACCGCAGTCAACTTTTTTTTTAAAAAGAGTGCAATTTGAAAATATTTCAAATTTAATTTTTTTTTCATTTTTACACCACTGCATAGCCCCCCCCCCCCCCACTCTACGCCCCGCCTACATCATTCCCGTCAAAAATAAATTTAAGAAAAATTCTTTTTGAGAAATATTTTAAATTTAAAAAGAATCATTTTTTACGACACCCCCCCCCCCCACGCCCACCCCCGTCAAATTTTTTTTAAAATAATTGCTTTTGAAAAGTATTTCAAATTTTTAAAAATTTCATTTTTTATGCCACCTCCACCCCTACCCCACCCCTAGCCGCCAACCCCCCACCCCCGGCGACCCCTAAACTGCTTTTCTTTAAAAAAAATTATTTTTGAATTATTTTTTTCCTGGATCAGGTACTGGTCAAATCTAAGGGTTGGATTTTGAAAAGGTCTTCGGGGTCAGTCCTAGTTGGTGTCGGGGTCATGTTCTAGATCAATTATCGGGGTTGATTTTCGGATCAAAAGTTATTTTCCTAAAGAGTATTTTTTTAGTCTCAAGGAAAACAAAAAAAAAATTAAAAACTATTTTTCATTCACCATCTAAACATTAAAAAATATTTTTCAGAAAGTATTTTCTACTCTCCAACCAAACATTTCCAAAACATTTTCTACGAAAACATGTTTCATGGAAAACATTTTCCTTCATACCAAACACACCCAAGTCATGATGGCCGAGTGGTTTAAGGCACCAGACTCAAGTTCTGGTATTCATAAGAGGGCGTGGATCCAAATCCCACTACTGACATTTTATTTTTATATTATTTTTCCATTTCATTTTACATTTCCATAGAACAATTTATATGATTGGTCAATATCACGTTTATATTGAACCAAAAAATGAGTTTGTAAGAGTTTTGGGTATTGATCAAGATTAGTGGATCATCGAGTCATGCCAAGTTCCTCATAAAGTTTTTTGAGAAAAAATTTTTAGGTGCTTCAGGGGCAAGATTCATGGGATAATACATAAGACAAATTGATAAATTTGCGCAATTTCTAAAAAAATGGCCCGTAGATGCGAAAATGGGTGCGAAAAAAATAGTGTGAGTATATGTGATGGTTCCGCAGCTCAAAACTGAGGTCTCCATTAAGTTTTTTGAGGAAAAAAAATTTGGGTGCTCTGGGAGCCAGATCCATGGGCTAATACATACAAAAAATTGAGAAATTTACGTGATTCCTAAAAAATGGACAGTAGATGTAGAAATGGGCGCGAAAAAAAATGCGGTGAGTATATGTGATGGTTCCCCAACTCAATACGGAGGTCCTCATAAAGTTTTCTGAGAAAAAAAAATTGGTTGCTCCGGGCGCCAAATCCATGGCTAATACCCATAAAAAAATTGAGGAATTTGCGCGATTCGTGAAAAAGATCCCGCAGATGCGGAAATGAACGCGAAAAAAATGGTGTGATTATATATGATGGTTCCCCAACTCAATACGGAGGTTATCATAAAGTTTTTTGAGAAAACAAAATAGGGTGCTCTAGGCGCCAGATCCATAGGCTAATACACACGAAAAATTGAGGAATTTGCGTGATTCCTAAAAAATGGCATTTAGATACGAAAATGGGCGCTAAAAAATGGTGTGTATGATGGTTCCCCAGCTCAATATGGAGGTCCTCGTAAAGTTTTTTAAGAAAAGAATTTTGGGTGCCTAGGGAGATGATCTATGGGCTAATACACACGAAAAAATGAGGAATCTGCGTGATTCGTAAAAAGGGCATGTAGATGCTGAAATAGGCGCCAAAAAATGGTGTGAGTATACGTGATGGCTTCTTAGCTCAATACGGAGGTCTTCGTAAAGTTTTTTCAGATAAAAAATTTGGGTACTCCGGGCGCCAGATCCATGTTAGCATACACATGAAAAATTAAGGAATTTGCGCATTTCCTAAAAAGGGCCCATATATACGAAAGTTAGAGCAAAAAAATGGTGTGACTATACGTGATGATTCCCCAGCTCAATACGGTGGTCCTCATAAAGTTTTTTGAGAAAAAAATTTGGGTGCGCAAGGCGCCAGATGCATGGGCTAATAATACACACGAAAAATTGAGAAATTTGGGTGATTTCTACAAAAGGACTTGTAGATGCAGAAATAGGCACGAAAAAATTGTGTAAGTATACGTGATGGTTCCCTAGCTTAATACGGAGGTCCTTATAAAGTTTTTTGAGAAAATATTTTGGTCACTCCGGGCGCAAGATCTATGGGCATACACACGAAAAATTGAGAAATTTACGTGAGTCCTACAAAAGGGCCCGTAGATGCGAAAATGAGCGCGAAAGAAATGGTGTGCGTATACATGATGCTTCCCTAGCTCAATACGGAGGTCCTAAATAAGTTTTTTGAGGAAACAAATTTGGGTGCTCCGGGTGCCAGATTCATAGACTATTAACACACGAAAAATTGAGAAATTTGCGTGATTCTTAAAAAGGGTCCGTAGATGCGTAAATTGGTGCAAAAAAAATGGTGTGAGTATACGTGATGGTTCCCAAGCTCAATACAAAGGTCCTCAATAATTTTTTTGAGCAAAAATTTGGGTGCTCCGAGCGCCAGATCCATGGGCATTACACACGAAAAATAGATGAATTTGTGTGATTCCTTAATAGGGCATGTATATGCAGAAATAGGCGCGAAAAAAATGATGTGAATATACATGATGGTTCACCAGCTCAATACAGAAGTCCTCATAATTTTTTTGAGAAAAAAAATAGGGTGCTTCGGGTGCCAGAGCCATGGGCATTAACACACGAAAATTTGAGGAATTTGCAAGATATCTAAAAAGGGAATAAAGATGCGAAAATGGTCGTGAATAAAATTGTGTAAGTACACATGATGGTTCCCCAACTCAATACGGAAGTCCTCATAAAGATTTTTCAGAAAAAAAAATTGGGTGCTCCAGGCACCAGATCCATGGGCTAATATACACGAAAAATTAAGAAATTTACACGATTCCTAAAAAAGGCCT